TTGCAGTTTTAACGTCCTATCATTTGGTTGTAGTCTGACATATTAGTTTTGCTCAGGGAAGATATGAGATAATGAGAAATTACATGCCTAAAGTTGGTTCACTTGGACTTGATATGATGTTTAGGACATGCACAGTTCAGGTAAGATGAGTCTTACATTTTCAATTATCCTTCCTGAAGCAGATCCTTTAACTTTTTTCCTCCTCTATAATTATAATAGGTTAATCTGGACTTCAGTTCAGAAGCTGATATGATCAGGAAATTTCGTGCTGGTCTTGCTTTGCAACCTGTGAGAACATAATGCTTTATCTTCCCAAAAATTCTCTGCTTTACTGTTTTCTAACGCAAATGAAACAGATAGCAACAGCTCTATTTGCAAATTCACCCTTTACTGAAGGAAAGCCAAATGGTTACCTCAGCATGAGAAGGTTTGCGAAACTTTTACTTTAAAGTCATTTTTCCATATTCTTCTGTGTTCACCTATTTGTTGATTTTTCTTTGAAAAATGAATTTGAACAGTCAAATCTGGACTGATACTGATAAGGATCGTACAGGCATGCTTCCATTTGTTTTTGATGACTCTTTTGGGTAAGCTTTGTTTATGTTGCACGGTACATTCGAGTGCTCTGTCTCTTGACTTCAAATTAATTTGCTTAGAATCCTTTCCTATTATTGTGAACATTTCCATCTATCATATCCTTGTGTCTCAATTCATCCCATTTTTAATCTAGTTAATTACATGATGGTATTTTATTTAATTGCTGCAGGTTTGAGCAGTATGTGGACTATGCTCTTGATGTTCCAATGTATTTTGTATATCGGAAAAAGAAGTACATTGACTGCACCGGGATGACATTCAGGGTTTCCATCTATCCTTGATAGTCTTGTAATTTGAAGTTTCTTCTGTAGTCATTCTTTTTTGCTCATGCAGTCAGGCCTCTATGTTGCTCCAACATTCTTTTCCATAAAATCTTGATAAACATTTTGAGCACAAATTTGTTTGTTCTGTCAGAATAACATTGCTCATGTTTCAGGATTTTTTGGCCGGAAAACTTCCTTGTATTCCCGGTGAACTGCCAACCCTTAATGACTGGGAAAATCATTTGACAACAATATTTCCGGAGGTGTTTTGCTTAATTCTACACTGATTTGCTTAAACCTTATATTTCCCTATGATTTTACCTTATTTAAGCCACACGTAATTCTTTCTGTTCAGGTTCGACTGAAGAGGTACTTGGAGATGAGGGGTGCTGATGGAGGGCCTTGGAGGAGGTTATGTGCTTTGCCAGCATTTTGGGTAATTGGCCCTTTTTATGTGCTTTTGAACAACCCATATATTGTGAATGATTTAGTAGTAGCTGTGGAATGAAAATCAGTGTTTCGACAACATTATAAAAGTTGAAAACACACTTAAGGCTAGGTGGCTGAACTTGAATGACATTATCTGGTGTTTTCAGCTTCGATTGGTCCCACATTAATATAGCTGTTGAGTTGACATGTGTAATAGTCCTTTATTTTTTGGTGCTAGGCATTTTAGTAAACTGTGTAATGATTTTGCAAGCATCTCTTTTTCAACATAGCTATTACAGCCATCTAGCTCACCCTTAAAGGGTAAGTTTCCTGTTATGTAATTTTGATTCAGCATTGCTTGTTTTGTGCTTATATTAATATTGCCCTGTACATTTTCATCTTTCTCATCATCCATATTTCCTATCCAAAATTTTTGCATTCTTGCTTGTTGAAATTACATTATTAAATGTCTAATTACTGCAAAAGTTGCTCATTTTAAGTTTATATATGTTTTCAGGTAGGTCTATTATTCTTGCTTTCGTGCTCGTTGAAATTACAATATTAACTGTCTAATTACTGCAAAAGTTGCTCATTTTAAGTTTATATCTGTTTTCAGGTAGGTCTATTATATGATGAGGTCTCACTCCAGAATATTCTAGACATGACAGCTGATTGGACTCCTGAAGAAAGAGAAATGTTGAGAAATAAGGTAATTGAAACACTCCCCTAGCAAATAAATTACATCCTCTTTCACTCCAGAATATTCTAGACATGACAGCTGATTGGACTCCTGAAGAAAGGGAAATGTTGGGAAATAAGGTAATTGAAACACTCCCCTAGCAAATAAAGTACATCCTCTTTAGGAGGCTAAGAATGCTCCTTTCTTTGTTATGAGTACTTTGTGTTAGATGTTCTAGGCTTGCATTTGTTGTCAGTTATAGCAACATTCTTTCTGCCGTTTATGCTTAAAGCCCCAGTCATTCCCTGCTTGCGAAAAAGGAAAAAAAAGAAATGAATGAAAACGAAGAGGCACCGAGTAGGTGATAATCCAAGTTAGTTATGCTTGAGTTTGTCTTACAACTTTCTTTCCAATTTTTGGAGTGCAACTTAAGAATCATCTCTGGCAAACAAATATATATATATATATATATATAAATTCAAACTTGTGTTTAGTTTACAATATTGTGATAAATGCATTTAGCTTTTTCTTTGTCTTTCTGCAGTGCTAATATTGCAAGTCTAAGTTTGAATATTTGTTTAGTAGGTCCCAAAGACTGGTCTAAAGTCACCATTTCGGGATGGGTTACTGCAGCGTGTAGCAGAAGATGTTTTAACGTTGGCAAAGGTAACATAGGATACTTTTTACTCTTTTTTTGTTTGAAATTCTAAACTAGGCATTATTATTTCTGCTGCTGCTATGGTAGATATTATTTCTTTTTAACTCGTATCAATTATCATGTAGGATGGCTTGGAAAGAAGAGGCTTTAAGGAATCAGGTTTCTTGAATGAGGTGGCAGAGGTGGTTAGAACAGGTAAACAGTTGAGAGTTTGTGTATTATTTACATTTTTTTCCAGTATTTCTGTTTGCCAAATCTGAGGTGTCAACTCCGTTGAAACATACTTTATTTTGCATAATCACCCCTTTCTCTTGAGGTAAAAAACGAGGGATGCTGCGATAGTTGAAAGATTTCTTTAGTTTGAAGTCTTTTAATTCCTATCGTTTGGAAGACTGATGGTCATGATGAATAATAATTTTATGGCAGGTGTAACACCAGCTGAGAAGCTTTTGGATTTGTATCATGGGAAGTGGGGACAATCTGTTGACCCTGTTTTTGAAGAGCTGCTTTACTGAGATGAATTTGTTTTGTTTGAAGCTTAGGCATTTACGTCGGAGCTTCTCTGTGGGACGAACCAGATTCTTGTGGTACTTAAGCAACGTCTTTTGTTTGTAATTTGCATAGTGACTTTGGATGTAATCCTTACTTGCGTGTTGAATGCTTTTGCGTGATTTTACAGGAATAAATTATGTAAAATCCTTGTTACGAGGATGCTAATTTAACTGTCATTGAATATAAGAAACTGTGTTCCAACTTAGGGTTCATCACAATGTATATGATGATGCACTCGGTTTTTAACACTACGTTATTACAGTGACAATTACGTACGTTCATGTGAACAATGGATGTGTGGCCATTGGGCGTTAGTGAGATCTGAGCGATGGAAATGTCAAACGTTCCCTGTCACATCCCAGATAGGTGGTCGTTTCAAAGGTAAATTGTTGCTTGCAATGATGATGAACTGTCAATTCCTTTTTTTCTGTTGGTAGAAATTTTGCATCGCCATCTCATTGGCTTCGGCAACAAATTTCTTGTTCTATCCTGGATTCTGATCATCATTACCTTCTTGTCCCAATTCTGGACGACTAGTCTAGAGGGAATGTAGTAGCCATGGCCTGATGGACCGCCATACCACCATCTGAACTGTAAGTTGCCTGTGAATGTGATCACATAACATTATTGTACATGAATGTAAGGGAAAGGAAAAATAAGAGAGGATACTAAGTGGAATAATGGTAATCCTAACTGGAGAGAAAGCTAGAGTGGTTGCTGTGGAGGGAACAACTTGACATATTTTCCGTCTTCAGAAACGACTTCTCATCTTCTTTTTTTTCTCATAGACATGGTAATGGAATCGATGAGTTAAAGCGTGGGTAAAATGTTCACGCGCAGGTAGGGACAAATGATTTTGAAGATCGCTTTAACCATTTTACCTTTGTTTTAATGGAACTTGCCTTTAGCCGTTAGTTCCATTATTTACCGGAGGAAAAAAACCATTAGTTGCATTATCCTTGACCTTGAATATAAATGTCTGATGGATTGAAGGAGGTTGGTTGATCATTGGATTCTAGCAAGTAGGTAACTATTTCCCTGTGCTGTACGGGGCTGGAAGAAGGGGCCCGACAGATTAGTTTTATTGGAGGAGAGACAGACTAACTCTCTCTCATCGCTCCAATAATTGAAACCTTGCCACCTCTTCTTATCACTTTTGACATCTTATTCTTAACACACCTAATTTGATCCTTGAATCATACATGCAATCTTTTAATGATTTCTTGGCCATAACCACCTTATCAACTTGCCGGTGCTTCCCCCTCACTATTGTTTTATAAGTTTTTTTAATCATAAATTTGTCCATGCATGAATACAACAAGTTTCATTGACAGTGGTTTAATTATCAAATAATGACAAATAGTAATGGTTCAGAGATATAAACTTGAAATCAAGAGAAGTCAAAAGAAATCCAAAAATATCCTTTTAATGAGCATCCTCCTAATTACATATAATGAGATCTTTAAAAGAAATGACATATTTCTGCTCAGTCAAACATCCATAGGAAAAGCAGAGCAAATGAAGGTGTTATCATCAAGGGAATCAAGTAGAGAAATGGGTATTTATTTTTTAGAAATGCCAATGGCACAGATGGGGAATCACATTGGAGTTGGAGGATGGGTTGGTCATTTTTTGATTGAATAATGCCAGAGCAACCAACATGCATTTCGTTGTCTCCTTCAATATCCAGCTCACAATACTCTCATTGAAATTTGACTAGGCCTCTTCCAAACAAAGACAAATGAAACTATTTATTATTTTATTATTCTTTATTCGACAATAATTATAACTTTCACTATTCAATTTAGAAGGAAAAAAAAAATCAGTGTTACAATCTTCATTCATCTTCCTATATCTGCTCTTGCCTACATAAGCACACACCCCTCAAGTTCATTATTCCGTGCTCTCTCTCTTCCTCTTTTCAGTTCCTGAGCTTTCTTATCAAACGTTGATTAATTTCCTCTTAGTCTAAAATTTCAATAAAATACCATCCCAAAAAAATGAGAGAAATTCTCCACATTCAAGCTGGTCAATGTGGTAATCAGATTGGTGGCAAATTTTGGGAGGTTGTATGTGATGAACATGGCATTGATGCCACAGGAAACTATGTCGGTACTTCTCGTTTTCAGCTTGAGAGGGTTAATGTTTACTTCAATGAAGCCAGTGGTGGCCGCTATGTACCTAGAGCTGTACTAGTGGACCTTGAGCCAGGGACAATGGATAGCTTGCGTACTGGTCCTTATGGACAACTGTTTAGACCTGATAACTTTGTTTTTGGCCAAAATGGAGCTGGGAACAACTGGGCCAAGGGTCATTATACCGAAGGAGCTGAATTGATTGATTCAGTTCTTGACGTTGTCCGTAAAGAGGCTGAGAATTGTGATTGCTTACAAGGTAGGGTACTTCATTCTGTCAATTCTTCATTTCAAGCAATAAAGACACATTCCATTGATAAGATATTTGATGCTAGAGATGTTCAAATTGGTTTATGGTTCTGTTAGGTAGCAGAATGGATAAAAACCTATGTTGTTTGAAGCAAAAGTTCTTTCAAATTGATGATTTAACTTTCTGTTCTATCACAAAAAAGCTAGCGCCATAATCACCATCCTCAACATTTAACACTTTATGAGTCATTACTTTTCCTTTTTCGTTTTGTCTTGTTTTGTGTTTTCTAATGGAATCTTACATGTAATTGTGATCAGGCTTTCAGATTTGCCATTCTTTGGGAGGTGGAACTGGGTCAGGAATGGGGACACTGCTGATATCCAAGATCAGGGAAGAATACCCTGATCGGATGATGCTGACTTTCTCAGTGTTTCCCTCACCTAAAGTCTCCGATACCGTGGTTGAGCCCTACAATGCGACCCTCTCAGTGCACCAGCTAGTGGAAAATGCTGATGAATGCATGGCCCTTGACAATGAAGCTCTCTATGACATCTGCTTTAGAACTCTCAAGCTCACAAATCCAAGCTGTAAGTTGAAAAAAAAAAAGTACAACTTTCACTATTTCAGTCAGATATACTAGTACCTTTTCTTTGTCCCCAATATACTTTTTATCTTCATACATACCTTCATTTTATATCAAATTGCAAAGCAACCAAACCTCTGTATATGACATTTTTCATGAACAGTTGGTGACTTGAACCATTTGATTTCAACAACCATGAGTGGAGTCACATGCTGCCTTCGCTTCCCTGGCCAACTCAACTCGGATCTCCGAAAACTAGCAGTAAATTTAATCCCATTCCCACGCCTGCATTTTTTCATGGTTGGTTTTGCGCCCTTGACGTCCCGTGCTCGCAACAGTACCGTGCCTTAACAATCCCCGAGCTCACTCAACAAATGTGGGATGCCAAAAACATGATGTGCGCAGCTGATCCTCGTCATGGTAGGTATTTGACAGCCTCAGCTATGTTCCGAGGCAAAATGAGCACCAAGGAAGTTGATGAACAAATGATCAATGTGCAAAACAAGAACTCCTCATATTTTGTTGAGTGGATTCCTAACAACGTTAAATCAAGTGTTTGTGACATTCCACCAACTGGGCTAACAATATCATCAACATTCATGGGGAATTCCACATCCATTCAAGAGATGTTTAGGCGTGTTTCAGAACAATTCACTGTCATGTTTAGGAGGAAGGCGTTTTTACATTGGTATACAGGGGAAGGAATGGATGAAATGGAGTTTACAGAGGCGGAGAGCAACATGAATGATTTGGTATCTGAGTATCAGCAGTATCAGGACGCTGTGGCAGATCAGGATGGGGAAGAGTATGAGGAGGAGGCAATGGAAAATTGAGGGAAAATTTTCGAACTTTTGGCCATGGCCAAAAGAAACTGGCGTTTGGAACTAGTTTGTGATTGTTATTTGATGCTTGATAAGGAGGCCATGTTTCATTTGTGTTGGGAATTTGGTGTCCTTTTGGAAATGTGAATTATGATTGAGAATTTGTGATTAATTATATGTAAATTTGGAGTGTAAATTGCATCTTTGAATGTTGATTTATTACAATGTTTATTTTGGCTTGTTTATTCGAGTGCAAATTTTGTATGTTTTCGCCCCCTTTTTTTCTCAATAAATTTCTTTTTATTGGTGGTGGGGGAGCTTCTAAGTCTCCTGCACTAAAAACAATTTAATAAAAATGGTCAAATTCTTTTGCAAACATCAACCAAAGTGGTGTGACTTGATTATTAAAATTTAAGAGAAAACTCAATTAATTTCATGTCTTTCAATCAATTCATGATTCATGAGGCTTCAGATTTTCATTCAATTTAATTTATAAATGGACATGAAAAGAAATATTCCATTCGTATCATGAATCTAGAAAAAATAAATAAATAAAGCTTGCATACATGCATAGCATTTTTACCTAAGTGTGGATTTCATAATTAAAATATAGATTTTGTGGGGGGAAGAGCAATGACAAAAAATTTCTCAAACATGTGATACAAATAAATAGGCTCAACCAGAAAATAATCCAATCTTTAAGAGGAAAAAAAAATCATTACCAACATTAAAAAACAGCCAATTTCATCTCCGGATGTGCAGCCATAGTAAGTAGTAATGTACATAAATTACAAGCACGACAACATCTTCTATGCACCCTTTGAAAAATGCAATTTTAAAAAGCTAAACCCTTTTCTACAAATATATAATCTGCTCCCTAATTATTTCCCCAAGATCATTGTAATGGGAAATGTCAGTAAGAGTGAATCAAGGGTAGAGACATGCAGTAGTCCCAATAACCCTCTCAAACTGACCAAAACCAACCCACAACCAATATCTTGTAAAAGAATGTTTCAGGCTGACCATGAACAAAACCAGTCATGCGCAGAGAGGATAGACGGTATGTGTTCATCGCATTCCGTGGTTTCTTTTGAGGTTAAAATGATGTTCTCTTTCTTGCTCGAGAACTGCGAAGCTTATGTTTGCCAATGGATGGCCATCTTCAGGTTGGTTGCAGAGTAGCTTATTTTAGCTTCGATAATTTTCAAGAAGTTGCATTCTTTTTATTTTCAAGCCCGGAACCCTCCCTGAGAGCAGCTTGTGCCTGGTCATCCTTTCCTAGAGCAAATAGAGCAGCGGCTTGCAAGTAGGATGCAATATGCCAGACAGGAGATACTGCTTGTGCTTGCAACGCATCATTGAGGGCTTCTTGGGGCATGTCAATCATAAGGTAAGACAAGCTACGCCTAGCATAGACCGTTGGGGAAACCATGGTTCCAACATCAATGAACTGCAACATGAATGTACTGTCAGCTCAAAATTTTGATTATGAATGTCATAATTTACAAAACATTTACACCATTTTGGATCCACCAACCATGGCAAAAAGAGTACCAAAATTGACAATTTACACAAAACTACCGCTCTCTATAACTTTTGGGACACTATTGGCACTAATACAATCCTAGACACATTTTTGCAGTCTGGATGGTAATAAGAATCATAAAGAAAAGGGTGCAAGGATATAAAAAGTACTGTGCAAAAGCAATTCTGGCCATCTCAATCTGCCTCCTAAAAGAAGTCCCACTTTCCAAAAACAATAGTAAACTAATTCTAACCTGGGTATAGCATTCAATGGCAGCTCTAAAATCTTTATGCCTAAAAGCAACATCACCCTTTTTCTTTGACGTCAGTGTTTCCTGCATCTGGTTCGTCCACATCTGGAATGAAAGCTGCAAACCATAAAAATAGCAGTGAGAAAAGCACTCACCATACTGCTGAAATAAGCAACACAAAACTAGTGGTCACTCTAAATGAAAAGTTTTAGATAAAGTCACAATATTAACGAATTACCATATATTAAGTGCAAATCAGAATTCTGTTACATTTAATGGACAAAACAAGAACAAAGACAAGTAATAAGTTAAATCATGTATGAATAAACTGATCATATTAGTATGTATGAGTATGCAAACATTTATGCATGTATATGTCTATAGATATGCATGAAGCAACCTAACTTGAACAGCTAATTCTATGCCATTGACAATAATAACTCTCAACCTAACCAGCAGCACAAATAACAGCTGTAACCAGATCTTGATGAATTCTTGCGTTAGCCACCCCCAAAACCACAAAAGAGAAGGATCAAAAGATTTCAAAGTCAAATCATGTTAAACACTTTAAGCAAAAATAGATCTATTGACAATTTAAATTGCATCTGTAAAAAAGATATAGAAACAAGATTGAAGGCCATTTTTTTTTTTTGGTACATGTGGATAAGTCCAAGGGTTAAAAGGGGATTTGAACCTTGGACCTTATACCTCCCAAGGAAATGTAACAAACCCTAGACCAAGCCTTGATTTGTCAAGTTTGAAGGCCAAATAATATATGAAAAGATGTTCACTTTTCGGAAGAGAAACAAACCTCAGTAGCAGCACCCTCATCATCTTTATATCCAAGCGTTTCTAAGACCTCATGAATGGCAGTCAAATCCATTCTTAAGCAGGCTTCCCCAAATGGTGATAGAGGTACAGCATCAGCACCATGAGGTATATCCATTAGTACATGAGAAGGAACCTTTGGAATTAATTGAAAAACAGCAACTTCACATTAATGGAAAAATATTCTTCAACTTTAGAACAAAGAAGACCTAATAACTCTGCACATAAAATGGCATCTACATCTATTTGGAGTTGAGTATGACAGTATAAGTTAGGATGACCAGCTGCATCTATCTTGCTCATATGGAATGAACTAAGAAAAACATAAAGACATAAAAATTACAGAATGAGGATTTGTCTCCCTCTGAACCAAACAAGCAAATCAAAAGAAATTGTAATTCCTAATGTTAAAGAGAGTATAGGCTTGAGAACAGAATATGACTTTTGATGGAAGGCATACATGGACAAATGATTTTAGAAGTGTAAAATTTGGAAATAATAAAACGAATTTACTTGAGAAATAAAAGACAAACAACCTCAGCGTCCCTCTGAAGTGGAATTAGTGCAGCAATTAATGACCTTGAATTTGGCCGATCGCGTGGCTCATACTGCAAGCATCTTGATGCTAGACGCACTAACTCAGTCCCATCATCATTTGAAAATTGCCCTTCCAAACAAGAATCTATCAGCTTCTGAATGTTCCTGTCACGTATAAGGTCCAGTGCCTGAAGAAAGTGATAAAACTAAAATTTAGGACTATAGCAGTTAGAATAACTACACCATCCTGAAAAGGAAAATCAAGCAACAAAATTAATACTATAACATTCATTTGGGCAGGCACAAAGTGGCATTCCCATAACTCAAAACAATAACAACAAAAATAACTGCTTACAAAGTTTCATTCCATCAAAAACATATGGACCTAGATGGGAACCAAGTCAAAAGTGCCATTTATAGGTTGAGGCCTGAATCATAACAAGGGTCCAGAAAAAAAAAAGTTTTATTACTTTAAGAAAATTCTCACCAGAACCATTGTTAAAAGTTTAGCTGTCTGTCACACATACCATGGATCTCTAAATGTAAACTCTTAAAAATATCAACTTAGAATCCTAAAATTGATAAGCACAGTCCTAAATCACAAATCAAGTTTCAAACAGATATAAAATAAAAGACATGATACCTATCTTCATGTTGGACTAATGACAACTCCGTACAAGGATAATCTAAGGAAACATATAATAAGAAGCCTGTTGCATCAGAATGGTCTCTAGTATACTTACATGACTTGGAGGAATATGTTTTCCACTGAGAAGATCAAGCAGAAGGGTGCCAAAACTATACATTACACTTTCTGGTGTTACTCTTCCTGCAGAAGGAACAAAACACTAGAATAATTTAGAATACTAAACAATCCAAAATAAAGTGACCGATATTAGTACTATAAGACTGGATGACACTGCATCCCAACAAAGTTAATAGAGCCACAAAACCCCAGAGGTGAGAGTGAACAGCATTAACAGATGTTACCACATCTACATTTATAAACAACATATAGCATATTTGCAGTCCCATAAAAATAGTATTTCTAAGCAGAATTCTATTGCTAATGGTATCATGCAGTATCTCCTTAAGAACAGATACTTTCTATAAAATCTGCTTGTCATACAAATAATTTATAATGCCCTAAAAGAAAATTACTTGCATGAACAAAGGAAAATGGTAATTCTCTATATGTAGGGCACTAAAGTATAACATATTGCATAAAGTGAGGTAGATAACTAATAAAAATCCAAACAATAATAAAGAAATAAGTCAAAGGTAGAAATCCTATTTTAACAGCTTGATTAATGACTCCTAATTGGGCTTACTTCATGGGTATTCAACAGCAAAGTCCATAAATACAACCATCAAAAGTCAAAATATGTTGCTAGAAAATAAAGATTAGCATGCATGTAAAAAAGCTTATTGCCAGTTAAAGAGGATAAGCACCTGTCCTCAAATACTCAGGAGGAGTAAATGCCAGGTTTGTGCTGTAACTTTTTCCATCTCTACTGTTCTTCATCAGACCAAAGCATGAGAGTCTAGGGTTCCCCTCCTGAAATTAATATGCATAACTACTGAAATTATACTAATTTCTAACTGTAAAAGAAAAAACAATTTAAAATAACATACTTACATCATCGAAAACTATTCTATAAGCATTTAGATCATGATACAGGGCACGTCCTTTACTGGTGCAGTAGTCTAGAGCTTGTGCAAGATGCAAAGCAACCCTTAGTCTCATTGCCCATTTCATTGGTTTTGCTTCCCCTGAAAACTCAAAAGTTCAATTAAAAGGTAAGTCAGAAATAACATTTCTTTTTATAATTATCCAGCCATAGCTAAAAGGAGGAAACAGAATTTAATGACTTCAAAAAGGAAAGAACCCTATTTCAACTGATATTTACAAGTTTTAGCTTCATTTCAACCATACAAGAAAGCTGTTTGGACGAAGAGGGAAAAACTTAAATATAAACCAAATGCTAAAGCTGAGGCAAGGGATTCAAACATGAACTTACAATGGAATAGGTGCTTTGCCAATGTGTCATTAGGCATAAATTCTGCAACAAGTAACCTCTCATCATCTTCACAGCAACAACCAAGTAAATTTGCCAATCTGTGGTTCCGGAGTTGACCAACA